TAATTTTTTCTGATTTCATTTTTCCCAGATCCTCTTTTGTTGCCAGTTCAGAGAGTCCAGGTGGTTGAGTATCAGAGTGTTCCATCTCGTTTCCCTTTGGGGTTGCTGTAGGTGATCCGGGAATCTGTTTTTGAGGCTTGTTTATGTGTCTTCTCATTCCCACAGGGTGTGGGGGGTGCTTCTGGCACCCACGTGGCTCACCTTCTCTGCCCTAGGAGCGTGGGATGGTGGTGGGGAAGCTTCCTTCTGGGTGCTCTCATGTTTATTATTTCAAAAGTCCCCTGAGAAATGTGGCCAACTCTGGACTCCTCCATAAAGCAGAGACAGGCCAGCACCTGTTCTTCGGGGAGCCTGATGGGTCCTGACTACATTGAAGGTGTTTGCTGAAGAATAAGCTACTTGCTCTCTATCCTGACATCTGTTAAGTCCATGTGCTGGAGCTATTTTCAGTAGCTGACTTCAGGAATTACTTTCCACCATCACCAACCAGATCTTGTAAGCCCATAATCGCTCTGAACCTCTAAATGTGTGCATATGTGTGTTTCATAAGGCATGTACTCCAAAAGCTCACTCAGTGATTTAGAGTCTTAAAGCTCTCCCTGCCTGATTCTTTGCACATTCTTGTCCAGTAGTTCCTCCTGAACCACCAGGGAATACAATCCTTGACAATATATAATATATAATGCAATATATAACATAATACTGCTCAGGGAGAGCCTGGACTGAATGTGCCCTTCTGGTTGCACTTGGTTCTCTGGGTTTGGCAGACTCTTATGGGACCTGAGAGAGCATTGGGAAAGGGTGACCAGGGATCGTGCAGTTTTTGTCATGTCACAGTTCTCCTCCTATAGAATGAACTGTCAGAGAGGTTAGGAGCCAGGCTAAGACGGGAAAAATAATTGGAAAACAAGGAAAATTGAACAGAATGAAAATTTAAGCAATTAAATAATGCATTTTTCAGTTGGATACAAGGGAGAACTGCCTCCCAGTAGGTCCAGAAACCATAAATGGGACCCTCAGGAAGTGAAAGATGCCATTCATGGCGGCAGCAGCCACCACACAGAGTCTGCAGAGGTCTGAGCTCACCGCTGACACCCTGGGCAGGCCAGCATTAGTTAGCATGTCTCTGCGAGGCTTGAGGTCTTAGCCCCTCTTGCTTGGATTGAAATGGAGCCTTGGAGTTTAAGCTGTTGGCAGGAGATCACTAGGTGTGCACAAATGCATCGAGCCTCAAGTCTGACTCCAAGCCCTGGGTGGATTTCTTTCTCCCATTTTGGTTAGCTGACCCAAAAGCCCTGTCAGAGTGAGATGTCGGGTGCGGGGTAGAATGCCTCTTGTTTTCCACAGTTGTCCAGATACCTGAGGTTACCCGTGAGAGAGCACTTGGAGGGATGTGTAATACTGACATTGAGTTTCCTGCTCTGCCAGCAGAACTGCAGGGCACTGCATATTTCCAATCACTAGGGGGAGGCAACTGACAGTGCATGTAAGCTGTTAGTCTTAGAAGGGAAGTGTATTTTTCCGGTAAATGATGCTCAGGGATTTCTAATAGATAAGCAAAGTTTGCACTGGGGACTGGCTATGTCTCCATTAAGGTTTGATCCTGTGCTTTTGTTGAAGTGTTTCAATGAAGGCAACTTACTCTGTCAGAATAATGAGTATTGTCCAACAAATGATCACAACATAAAAGGGCCAAATATCCCCTTTCTTTATTCTCTGGCTTCTTACTTCCGTCCACTGTGTGTATGATTGTTTCTGTTTTGCTGAGGTGCACTTTCCCCTTCACTCTTCCCATTCTATGTCCTTGGTCATTGGAGCCCAAGGCCATCAAGGCACATTCTCGAGCCTTCCCGTCCCATGGACGGGGCTGCCCTGGGGTATCCCATGGATCACTTCATCAGCCCAGAGTCTCCTGAGGGTGGCCTGTCTGGCCATCATGTGCAGACCATTCTGTGTCTATTTCCAGGACATTTTCATCTGCACCTATCTTCCATTGGTGATTTATTCTCTTTCCGTTCTTCAAAGATTCCTTCCTTTCCTTTTGCCAAGTGGAGACAATAGTGGTCCAGGAGTTCCTACCATGTGAATACCAACAACTACACGACTAGTTGGCCTTAAGACCTAGCAGATCCCACTGAGCCTTCATGTCAGAGGTGATCATAACTACCATGTTTACCTCTCAGTAAATGACCACTTATCTTGTAGTCCAGATTAATCTGACCCTTGCCTCACATGTTCTTGCAGTTAGCAAAGTAGTCCATCTCCTCCTCACTTCAAGTATTTCTGAAGGTCAGTCCCTAGGTTGTCATATAAGTGAGTCCTCTGTCAAAAGTTCTGATTTCTGAGTTGAAAAGAATTGTCATTGTCACCACAACTATCTTTCTCTTGTCTAGTCATTCATAGTTCTTCTTTCTTTTTTATTTCCCTTAGTCCTTTAATTTCATTTAAAATACCATTATATGGTGTTTAAAATTGGAGTGGTGACAAAAGGGCACAAGATTTGCTTAATGGAGTTCCCCTGGCCAAAGCTGGGACAACTGGAGAATCAAAATTAATAGAAACAGCCATGGGTAATAAATCATGGCTTTAAAAAAAGAACATATCAGAGTACAGTTCTATTAAATGAAAGGAGAAGGGGAGAAGGAAAGGCCCTTCTTTGTTTCTTTGTAGAAGAACGTCAATTAATAAATACCGAAGAATGATAGAATTAGAAAGTACCATTTTTAATCATCACAGGAAAAACTTAGAAGAAAAAAATTTTTTGCACTAAGAGTTAAACGTAGGGCCTTCACACACTAGGCAAGCATTCTAACATTGAGCTACACCTCCCAGCCCTTTAAAAAAATTTAGTTTTATGACAGTATCTATCCTAAGTTGCCCAGGCAAGACTTCAATTTTTGATCCTCCTGCCTAACTCTTCTGAGTAGCTGGGATTATAGGTGTGTGCCACTATGCTTTAGCCAGGCAAGAATTTTTAATAGATACTAAAACCATTGGTTGAAAGGTTGTAAGGAAGAGAATATTCCTAATGAGCCCAAACCTGGCAAAGGCTCTGGGATCAATCCCCAAGACCACAAAACAAAACAGAAACAAACTAGCCTAGAGTCTTCAAAAAGTCAATATCATAAAAAGCAAAATATCTAGAACATCTTTTAATCTCCTAGATTAAAAGAGATCAGCAAAACATTCAGCTAAGTTCAGTTTGTAATCTTTGATTGGGCATTGGGGCAAAATTTGACTCTAAAGGACATTCTTAGGACAATTGAGGAATTTTGAGTGTGTACTGTAATATTATGTGAGTGTTAAAAAGCATAATTTGGTTAATAAAGGAAAATAAAATAAAATATTGTTCCTTATTTGTGCCTGTGTGTTTCTGAAAAACAATCCTTGAGTTGTTCTAAAAGTCTCTATATACCTGTGAACCTGGAGAGGTCCTGACTCTAACGCTCTGTATCAACTTTATTTCCTTTAAATTTCTATAGAGGTAACTCACAAAGAAATGAAGGAAAATAATCAAGAAATAGCAGTTTGAAAGGTTCCCTAAATAGTTGGTGTTTCACTCTGGGATAGTTATGGGCAGCCACAGCCTTCACTGGCAGGAGCCACTTCTGTTTTTGTTGAACAAGAACTTGTCATTTTACTTCATTGGATTCTGAACACATAATAATTTGAGAAGCACAGAATTTCCTTTCTTTGCTCTACTATCTCTACGTCCAGGGCAGAAGCCTAAATCCAGGGAGTCTCCAAAAATGGCTCCCGAGGGCTATACAGCTCCTCAGGCCCTGCCCTCGGTGGTTAGGCCTGTGGATCTTTGCCAAGAGGAGAAGAATTGTTGCTATCTTTAAATTATTATTATTATTATCATCATCATCATCATCATTATCATTATTGAGTTCCAACAGCTAATATGCTGGAAGGAGCATAAGGTTGATTTCATAAATAATACAATTGGAAAAAATAGACAATTATGTAAGAACAGTCTTTCCTGGCAAATACTACAAACCTTTCCTTGGCTTTGGAGAAATTTCTTGGTTTTGTTTTTTGAGTTAGAAGAGAAGATAAATTGAGTTTGATGTCAGGAGTATTTTAGAGAAATGATCACACTATCAGTGCCAAACTCCAGGAGGGGAGGACATTGGTGGTAACCCCGGATAGATTGGGGAACCCTGAGCCAAGGGCCCTGGGTCTCTCTGCCCACGCTATTGCCCAAGGGCACCTCAGGGTCCTTTGGGCTCCCCATCTCTGGGTAGCCTGGCCGCACAGAGATGAAGTCACTGAAGATCGTGGGACGCCAGAAGCTCTGGGCAGTCTCGCAGAGTCCTAGCCCCTGTCTAAGTGCAGTGAGAATACTGAAGATTCCTGTGCCCCCTGATAGGTTGGGGGAGGCTGAGTGGCCCACAGTGGGAATGGGGAGATGTGTATATGGACATTTATTTACATTTGACAAGGTGAGTTCATTGCCAGCAGCAGAAATTAAATCAACCTATATAAAATTAATGTTATACCCTGACAGTCTGAGTTAGAGGCTTTAAGAGTTGAATGGCTCTCCCTAATTTATGGGTGTAATTGGGATCTAAACAAACAAACAGGCATCATTCTGGTGTTATGGTGAAGTGAGTGAATGTTCCAGGCTCGTTTGGCTTTGTGACCAAACAAGTGTGACCTGTGTGACCCGGCCTTTTATTTCAGCCTGGTTCTCCTGATTTCTCTGGGATTCCTGGCATAGAAGAAGGACTGTGGTTGCTTGTGGCAGATCCTCCTTCACCCTTCCAGGGCTCTCGGCCCTTCCACAGCTGCACCCAGAAGCCTGAACTGGCAAATGGTAGCGATGCCAGAGACTACCCAGGGCACCGGGGCCTGAGCCTGCCCATGGGGATGCTTACCCTCATTCCTAAGAGCAGGAGTCTCTCTCCCATCCCACATGGCAGGGGCATGTGCCACACATTTTCTGTCAGCCTCCAGCTCTCCTGGGCCACAGGGAGGAGGAGCTGCCCTACACAGCACAGAGCCGCTAAGCTGAGAGGCGGCACTGCCTCTGGGGGTTGGGGTGGCTCCTCTCCGTGCCCTCCCCTGAGCTTCGCACAAGCTCTGTACAGTACAGTGGTCACCACCTTGAGCTGTGGGGGTCTTTTGGAGATTGTAAAGGATCACACAGGGGAGTATGACCTTTGAGGGCACAAAGAAGTCCAGCTTTAAGAGCCTCAGGAGACTGAAATTCAGTCCGTGTCCTGTGGCTTTGAATTTTAAATCTGAAATATAACCTGTCCATTACCCAGCAGACCCACTGTGCTGTGAGACAGAATGCACCCTCTGGGGAGAGTGAGGGTTGATGCCCCTCATCTCCGGAGGAATGTTTCCTCAATGGCCGGCTCCACGTGGTGAGGGACAGGAAACCCGCCTGTGGGACTTTCCCAGGTCCCAGGGGTGGATTATTTTGAAGGACTTACTCCCTCCTCTCTGGCCCTCAGCACCTGCCCCAGGCGACACCTGCTGAGTCTTTCTGTGTTGCATTCACCTTCTTAAAGAAGGAGGCTGCTCTCTCCAGATCCAGACACACAAAAGGAAGGGCTAGGATCCTGCCCAGTGGGCATGCAACCTTCCGAGGGTGTTGGGTGCAGTCAGCAGCCAGTTTCTTTATCTGGGAAAATGGGATGATGTGAAGCTGGAGCAAAGCATTGTGAGAAATAGGGTAAAGCAGCTTGTTAGGAAGGACATACACGCTCCGCATTAAATGTAATAGTGCAGGCAACCAGTGTATAAATGAGGAAGCAAGCGCAGTCACTAGGACAAGGAAATGAAGTAATGAAATGGACAAAATAATTTCTGTTTGTGAATAATAAAAGCTAATTTTCATGCTTTTTCGGTGCTAGGCACTGTTTAGGCACGTCACAGGCATGTCCTCATTTGCCCTCACAAGAGCTCTCCATTTCCATCCCAGAAGACAGAGAATTCAGGTGGTAAGGGAGGGTCCTGGCTACATGAGAAGGATGCCGTAGCCCAACCTCAAACTCTCAGCCTAATGCTAAACTGCCTCAATACACGGACAAGGGGAAATATAGCTCCTTTTAGCCTCATCATCAAACTAAAATTCAGAGGTGACCCCAGTGGGCCAACAGGTCAACCCTGCTTTCATTCGGTCAATAAAGAGAGGGAGGCAGGAAAGTCTGTTTCAGGAAGCAGATGCTACAGGGGGCATCAGGAGGCTCTCCCATTCCAGAAGGTCTTTTAGAGAGGCCGAGAGGCCCTTGTTTCCTTCCTCATCTTCAGATTTTGCCAATCCTAGTGATGGATTCGTAATTGAAGAGTGAAAAGTAGGAGCTGTGTCCAAACTACACAGGAGGGAAGATGGTTTCTTTTAACAAGTGTCATGCCATGGTGCTCACTATGTCTCAGGCACCTGCATTCTCCTCGCCTCACCTGTCTCCAGGACTCAGGGCTTGGTCATCTCAACTGCTGCAGTGACAGTCGCCTCTGGCAAGATGCTGATTTGGGCCAATGTCGCAGGCCCAGAGTCTCTGCCTCCTGCCAGCTCTTCTGGGCATGAATGAACATCACACCACAGAGTGTGGGCTCTGGCATCCCCCGGGCAAGGGCCATTTCATACAACTTGGAGATTGGCCAGGGAGGCTGGAGATAGGTAACTAAATTCCCTCTTCACTTTTATCTTTGATGACCATCGGGTGCTAATTTTTTTTCTACATACCCTGGCCAGAGATGACTTGAACTCAGGCATACTCATTGAGAAATAGCTGTACCTTGTTGAGATTTGTTAGGAAGCAGAGGGCAACATGATGAAGCATCAAACTGGATCTACTCCTCATCCTTTCCTGACTTGCTTTTCTTTCCCTTCGTTTTACTCCCCTGGAATAGCACATCCTAAAGCAGTGGCCCTAAGTCCTTGCCTTAGGATACGTTCTAGACTGGGAGTCATGGGCTCTAGAGTTCAAAGTAAAGTTTCTTCTGAACTTTTCCTCTAGGTTATTGTCCTATACCTGTCTAAGGACAGACTGTCCCAGAAACTGAGCCCAGGGACTCTGACGTGGGATGTGTCTGCTCTGGTCACAAGGGCTGATCATCAGTCTCTCCATGGCAAGTTTGATTGGGATGGAAAATCCAGAATTAGAGGACCTTAACATTGTCAATCATCTTTAATTCCTTGCTACTAACCCAGTCCTGGTTCGATGGCACCATCTTCTCTCTTTTATCCTTCACAAGTAAGTGTACTAAGACTTCACATGTTATTGCACTGAGATGATCTAAATTCCTCAGACTGAGCCTTGCATCTGTCCTTGCTAATAAGCTAAATGGTGACTCCAACCCCAGCACCGCAAATCTGTGTTGTGAATTGGTGGCATTAGGAAGATATGGCTGTAAATTTCCATTCTAATCACTCTGAGTTTCCTTGCTCTGATGTGGCTGCCAAATTCCTGTGAGACTCTTTACAGGTGAATTCCAGACAGCTGAGCACCTTGTCCACAATAAAAAAAATAACTGGGGTTTCTCCCCATTGGAGTAAGAGAATGCTAAACATGAGACATGTTGGCTTTCTGTGTAATGCCCTGTTTTTAGCTTGTCTCTTGGTCATCTGCTGGCCCCTAGATCTAAGGAAGTCTCCCCATGAAAAGCAGCAAAAGGCCATAAGTGGGGAGATGGTGTCTTGAGGTTATGATCTCAGAAGCAGTAGTTACCCAGGCCCACTCAGAAAAGAGGTCCTCTGCAGAAAGCAGAAGGGATGAGAGGCAACCATCTTGGTGAACAAAAGGTAAGGAGATGTCCCAGGGTGCCCAGATTTGAAGCATTGGTTTCTTGTTTTGGTAGTGGGGTTCAAACTCAGGACCTTGCTCTTGTGGGGCAGGTGTGGTGCCACCGAGCTAAATCCCTGGCCCTTGAAGCATTGGTTTCTATAAGGAAGGCCTGCTCTGGCCAGGAGCAGGAAGCAGACTGAGGGTTCTGAGGCTGCATTGCTCAAGCTTGAGTCTCTTTTTCCATCCCATATCAACTCTGGCTCACATTCCCCTTCCCGGCTTGTGTGACTCCTTACCCTTGTCTGGTCTCCAGGAGATAGGACAGACTTGGAGACCTCTTGAATAGAAGATCCCCACACATGGGGCTCCTAGGATCAATAGGATTCCTAGATCCAGGAGTCTGGGTTCCTTCAGGTAGAGCTTACTGCTTCTCCTGCTTGAGTACCAACTTCTTACTTAACAGATAAACATCAGAAAAGCACAGGCTCATTTCCTTCCAGATGTCCAAGTAGTTGTGTATATTGCAGGGACAACCAGCATGAAAGCTGCCCCATACATTTGCAGTGAAAAACTTTTTGCTAAGGGTTCTTTTGAGATCACAGCTTTGTAAATGGAGACATGTTCTCAATGTTTTCTTGGTCATATCTGTGGTGCCAGGGTGTCTGCCTGTTGTTTTCTTGGGAGCTGCATCCAGAATCAACTGCAGATTACTCTGCCTGGGGTCTGGTTACGCTGTCTTGGTATACCTGACAGGCCTGTTAATTGGTAGGTTCTCACAGGCCTTCTGAATGTCACCATCACCTACACTCAGCTTCTGTCGCTCACATTTCCTTCAGTTTGCATGGACACTTTAATAGCCTGGCCAAGATATTCCTACAGAGGAGTCTGGGTAAACGTTCATGAAGGCAACCCAGCATCATACTTTTGTCATGTGAAAAAAAAAATCAAGGGTTTAAAAATGGCTTATGGGGCCAGGGATTTAGCTCAGTGGTTCCGGCACCTGTCTTGAAAGCGCAAGGTCCTGAGTTCAATACCAGGTACCAAAAAAAGGCTTATGGGCTTGGTCTGAAATAAGTGGCATCCCAGTAGATTCCAAATAGTCCTGAGAAATCAAGAAGGGGAACCCAGTAAGATCCATTAGCTCATGGCTGAGTGATCACTAATTGTGTATGTGTTTAGAACACATGAGAATTACGTTAAATATTGTTGTTTTCATCTGGAGAGAACTTTCTTTTGTTTGATGGAGTTTTAGCTGTGACATCTTGGGGTTAGTGTAAGCCACATAGATATGGAATTAAAAAAATTTCATTTAAGTGTGTATTAAAATAATAGCACTGAATTTTCTCTCTTATTGGTCCCTCAACACTTCAATCGTACCTGGCAAGCTGACTAAGCCCACCTGCTCCCTCTGTGGGATGAGTTCCCTCTTTTGCTTCCACCCTAGTCATTTCCCTAACACTCTACTCTGCAACTGTCTTCCTAGGTGTATGAAGTGGTAGTGGTGCAACAAGGTTGCCTATGCAAAATCTGGTGCGCATCTCTTGTATTAAAGGGCTAGAGAAGTGAAAATAATGAGCTTCATCTATGAAAGAGATGCTGTTGACTACCATCTTCCTTTAGATCATAGATTAGATCACTCATTCAGTAAATACACTCTCCATGTTAGAATCGGTCCCATCTTTTCCTTTTCCTTTACATCTCAAGAATGTTTCTGTGGTTACTTGTCTGATGCTAGGGAGATGCTGTGTAGTCATGGACAAGAATAAAAAGAATGTTTAAATGAGCCTACAGTTCCTAGCTCTTAGCACTGTCCCTTAAATTAAGAAGCAGTTGTATCCTTCCTCATTCTCTTTTTCTGGTAAGTAGGATTTTGAAATAATGAGTATATGATAGATCCTTAGTGAGGAGATTAAGAACATGGGATTCAAAATAAAACAGCATGACTCAAATCTTGATTCTGCCGCTTACCTTATAGGAGACTTTAAGCAAGATACTTCACCTTATGAGGCCTTAGATCTGTCACCTATAAAATAGAATCATAGTGTTATGCCTTGGGTCTAGATGTCCCTCCAAAGCCGCATCTCATATACTCATAGTGGGGCCTTTTGGAGCTGGCTGGATCTAACGAATGTGATGCTGGGATTAAGGGTGTATAGTACTAAATTAGTCTACTGAGTGGAATTAGCATAGTTCTGGATATGGCTGAATGGATTTCTTGAAGACAGAAGCCCCACCTGGGTGTGGGTGGCATCACTCAAAAGGCTTTTAGCCTGGATAGATAAAAGGTCAAGGGAGGCTTGCTGCTTCCTGCTTGCTGCTTTCTTCCTGCCTTGCTATGGGTTGTTGCTCTTCTGTGATGCTCCGCTGTCATGCCACTCTGCCTTGGAGCCAGCTGACTAGGGACTGAAACCTCTACAAACTATAAACCTTTTCTGTTTTAACTTTGGGTGTTAAGTATTTTGTCTCAGCAACAAGAAAAGTAACTAAGACACATAGAGTTATTTACCTCATGGTTAGTGTGAGGATTAAGTGATGTAATCTTTGAAAAGTATTTGCAAAAGGATGTAGCACAGGACCAATTCTCAGTAAACGTTAGCTATTATCATTTAATCATGCAATCATTTTTAATCTTTTAAATTTTCCAACTCTGTCCTCTATGTCATTGCTCCACTCTTCCTGTTCACTCAGGGGGCAGAAGAATGAATACACTGTGCTCCAGGATAGCACCTTTGCCAGTCAGTTTTTATATAAGGATCAGGTAAGTTAAAAGATTTTTGTAATTATTTATATGCAGTGATCACTCCACACAATATATCACTTTACTTTCTGTGAATCCTAATTTCCCCATAAGGTCAACATTGAACCTAGCTATTGAATTTGATTTGGTTTTTGTCCAATTCAGTTTGGGACCATAATTGTGGAAAGATTTAAATGTTTGAACCAAGGTACCACTGTATATGTATTGCAGTTTAATGTTTATTTTTAAGAATTTTGTGTGTAGTACGGTACAAGTGACCAAAAACATATGTCTCCGTGGGCCCCATGGGAGTCTTTTAACATGATAGAGAGCCAAATCCTATCATTTGTAGAGCCCCTAGTGCATGGTAGAATCTACATATTTATCCTCTCATTTATTCTTCAGAGCAATATGGTGAGTGAATGCTAATCATTTTTCAGTTAAAAAATCTAAGTCTCCAAGTGTTTTAGTGCTATCTTCAGATTTCTATGGTTGGTAAGAAGCAGGAAAGCACTGCAAACCAGACCTATCTTAAGGATGGCCTCTGGGGCAGTCACAATCCTGTCTGCTTCTGGGCCAGAATCTCCAGGGCATCTCTTTCCTCTCTGAGACAGCACCTGGCTCTGTATCAGCTTGCACCCTTGATCAATAATGATGGGCACAATGTTCACAGGTCTGACATGGGCCTATGGCATGGAGAATGGAAAAAACTTTGGTGGTTTTCAGTCATTAAGATTTTTGAGTTCTTTGTTATTGCAGAAAAAGCTGGAAGATCTTGAATCCCAGATCTTAATGACCTGTAGACAAATTGAATGCCTTTATACTCAAATATTTTTTTGAAATAGGAAGGAAAATCCAGAATCCAGGAAAGCAAAGTGTTGAATTCCAAATTCTCTTTGTTGACAATCTAGTGCAACAAGCAAACTATCAAAAGCACATACAAACAACAGACGATGTTTAAGGAGTAGTCTTTCAACCAAACAGATAAGACAATGTCTTAGTTTTCATATCTCCTCAAGGATCATTTCATTCTATTTCTCTTGGTACCATATCTCTGTGGCCCGAGGAGGGATTTTGGCTAAGATGTGGTTTGTGCCTGTGTAAGCATATTGAATTTATTTCTGGCTGAGCTCATTCCTATCTGTCACCCAATTATCATCAATAAATATTTAAATATCAGGCTGGCAGCTCTAGAGCAGAGCCCTGGGTATTAGGCCTTTGTGAATCCCAGCTGATCATTATTAATTCAGTGGCTATAGTTGTAAATTGGCTAAGAACACACAATGGAAGCACTCCTGTCAGGATGGGCTCATACCACTGAAAGAAGTTTTGGATCCGCTCTTGCCTCATTCCAAGAAGATTTGAGATGCAATTTGCTTCAAACTAAATTTTCTTTTAATTTTTTTGCCCAAATATAAAATAAAAATAAGGTGGGAAGAGGCATCATGGGACTGCATTGTTCTGGATGCTGTGGAGGTTTGCAGGGCTGCTCTTTGAGCTAATGTGAATTGGCAGGCAAAACACTTTCCATGGAGATGAATTATATGGTCAGGGTTACCCAGGTTTTTATCTGAGTTAGACAGAAGTCAGAATAGATAAAAATGAAATGACCCATTATCAAGTAATGAGTGAGCAAGCTACACTCCTGTAATGTTTCTGGATCAAAACACAAGTTACCTTTGAGGCAGAGGAATTATTTTTGTGTAGTTCAGAGCAGAACAAAGTCCTCTTCTAGCCAGACTCCTCAGATGCCCTGGGAGTGAAAGCAGAGAAACCCTCAGGGACAAAAAAGAGGGGTGCTCTCTGGGCGGCAGCCTTGTTACAGCAGCGCATCGTGGGTTTGGTAAGCACTGATGTCCAGGCACAGGCTACTGAAGGTAAAGGGCGTGGTATCAGGGATGGCAAACCTGTTAGGGACCAAGTGACCAAACCGTAAGTCAAAACCCACTTATTTATTGCAAATGCCATCACTGCTAATAAACTTGAACACCCAGGTTTTAGTTTAGAAAAAAACCTCATACATTAGCATCTTTCGTCTTAAAATAAAAGCAAATAAGATACATGCCATAGGTTTGCCACCACTGCACAGATGAAGTTCTGTGGGAAGGGTGAGCTTCTAGCCCAAGGGCAGGAGCATAAATCAGCAGTGATTTCTGAAAGGCGGATTCCATAGTACCGATCAGAATTCACATGGCCTCCCTCTTTGACCTAGCAATTCAATTCTAAGAATTTATCCTACAAATGTAGTTGTACTTTTATATACAAAATATATGCTTTGTGTATATTATGTGTAAGGATACTTCTTGTTTGTGATGGTAAAAACATAAACATAACATCAAAACGTCCATCAAAAAGGGAATAGTGAAGTAAATTGTGATATATTGATACCACTGAATATTATTAACCAGAGAACGAATGAAGGAGATATGTGTTTGCTACTTGTGACCTTAGGAAGTTTTTCAGTCTCTCACTGCTTCTCTCATTTGTACAAGGATGATAATGATAAGATTTAATCAGTATTTGCTGAGTAACAGACTAAATGAATAGGGATGTATATGTACAACTTCTTTTGAAAGCCTAAATTTTAGAAAAGTGACTGAGAAATGAATTTGATAGAGCTGAGAACCCCAAGTCTCACATGGGAACCTGGAGCTGAAGTAAGAGGAAAAGTAGCTTTTAGTGGACTCGATACTGTCAGTCTTATCTGTGTAATCTGATTATTATCTACACAATCATCCCTTTTAATCTCCACAGCCTTCTGAAATAGTTATTGTCACATCCGTTTATAGGTGAGAATAATAAAGGTCAGAGAAACATACGTGAGTGTGCACAGCTGTGAGCAGGGACCAGATTTCTAACCTACGTCTACTAGCATCAAAGCCCTGGCTTCCCCGAACCTCCTGCCATGCTGAGACCATGTCTTCATCATCCTGAGTATTCAACATGTTGAATAGCACAGGGCTTGCCTCTATTTAATTAAATGTTTGCTGAATATATTGAGGACACTGATATAGATAACTCATTGTTTTATGTTCTTTAATATGTGGGAATAATTATTTCTATATTTTCTACAATGTTTAAGTGTTTTGTATTTATTTTACCTCTCTGTCAGCATAGGCTGAGTTGTGCTATAGTGACAAATAATGTCAAAAATCTCAGTGAATTATTACTTCATGAAATGCACTTTGTGGGCTGACTGCCGCCATGTGCTTCCTTCCTTTTAGGACCCAAGCAAGCTCCTTTTGGGACACTATGGATCTTATGGGAGGGAAGAGGGCTGCAGTAACCAGGCGATAGCTCTTGAGGTTCTGCGTAGAACCTACCTCCCCTTTCAGTTCCACTCCCTTTTCACTGGCCACAGTGAGACAGATGGCCAGACAAGATGGGCTGGGAAGAGAACAGTCTTCCTGGGGAGGAACTGGAGAGACGGGGCAGCAGGTCGACGGGACACACTTCACCACCTCACAGCAAAATAACCTGTCGGCTCTGAAGTACACACTCCGTTTTCTACTGTTGTTTATCTTAGTACCTAGAATAGAACTTTCATTTTTCTAATTTCAGTGCTTGCTTCTCTAGATAGTCAGCTTAATTTTCCTTTTATGGGAGACAGCTTTGTTAAAGTCAGCAGTTCTTTAAGTGTGTTATGGGAACCTCAGCCGTCCTGAGACGTTCTGTCAGCCTGTGAGGTCACAGCTACCCGAAGAACTCTGAGCTTGCATTCCCTTCCTGAGTGCGCAGTGGGCTTTTCCACCTGTCCCGGGATGTGAAATCAGAATAGGTCAAATACAGCAGCAGATATGAGAGCCCAGCAATCTCACTCATGGCCAGGAATTAAAAAGATTTGTAAACATAAAAATGCCACTCTTCTTACTTTTGTTTTGAAAAGTGTAGTTGTGTTTTATAAAAATGTGAACATTTAATAGGTTTTTAAATTTTTTAAGTTTAATTTTTTTTTTGGTGGGGCTGAAGATCAAATCTAAGCCCTCATATATGCTAAGTAAGTGCTCTACCACAGAGCTACATTTTCTGCCTGCTTTTTTAAAAGAATAAGATGAAAACTACATATTTAATTTTTCCCTTTTTCATTTCTAACATGGGAAATATCAGTACCTATATATCTATATGTATAATACATTTATACAAAAGCTCTTTCAGGTCCTTAATAATCTTTTGAGTATAAGGGGTTTCTCAGAAGACACCATGTACGAACTCCTGTCTCAGAGAGATTGTGCCAGGCTTTGAGATGGGTGGTTGGAAAGATCCTTAACTATAGTTAAGGATTCCTGAGAGCTACTGAGCAGAGGACCAAGCCTAAAGGGCAGATATCATGAGCTGGTTAAAGAGGACTCATTACATGAATTATTCCCAGCCTTGCAGAAGTTCACAGCTTGATGTTGCATCAGTCGTGATAAAAACCAATGCGGTACCTAGTCCTGAAAAGGGAAGTGCTGCCTTCCAACAAGAGGCACTAGTCATTCTAGTCATTTAGCATCGTCTAGGAACTTTGTTAGGATGTCTCACTAGCTTCCACACAGAAGAACTGAAAACTGAGCCCCATATTCACACAGATAGACAATAATAATGCAGAGTACTTTGTACAGCACTTCGCTTCAGGCTACGTAGTGCTTGTCTTGCCTATGCTAATTAAAGCCTCCTTCCTTACAGTGACCATGCTCAGGTAGGTGTTGTCTTCCTCCTGCTTTTGCCTTTGCACTCTGCTAGCACCCACGTTTCCAAAAAGGCATCACCCAACAAGGACTTGGATGTGTGAGGCAGAAGTCTTTTCTCTGTTGCAGACTCCCATCAACTCCTATCAGTTGCACAGGGCTATTCTGAGTATTTCATTGCATGTGTTGGAATTTAATGGCAGGAAGAACTTAGTTTTTTATGAGAAGCTCAGAGTGCTCTTTACCAAGCAGTGAGAGGTATTCAGCATGCTGTGTTTTGTTGTTTTTCACTTCCAGAAAGCTCCATACTCCCATGATATTCAAGTTTGGTGATTTTTAAATTCTTATTTATTGCAAGGTACTTCCATTTTGGACACAGGCACAAAATGTAATTTTTGTTGTTGTTAGTGGTGCTGGGTATTAAACCCAGGGCCTCATGCATGTTAGACAAGCACTTTACCACTGAGCTACATCCCCACTCCTTTATATTTTATTTTGAGACAGGGTCTTTTTAAGTTGCCTGGGCTAGACTTAAACTTGTCATCCTCCTGCCTCAGCCTCTGGAATAGCTGAAATTACAAGTGTGATCCACAATACCCAGCTAAGATATAATATTAATAAACCAACAATAATAATTTCAACAAAACCCAGTCAAGTGCATGGAAGACTTTAAACGCAGACAGTGATGGTACCTGTAGCATTTTGAAAGGCCCAGCCAGGTCAGAAATTCCTTCTGTAGTATGCATATATCTAACATGATGACCTGAAATTCCTTTATCAATGTCATTCCTGACAGGATAGAAACTTTGTCTTCAGAAAGCCCCTGTTTTGCAATGCAGTGCAAACATGCTGCTGGGGAAAGGCGTGCCTCACCTGGTCGGTCCTTGTTCAGGCCATGGCAGAGGTGGGTTCATCTATCTGGTGGCCAGACTGGGCACTTAGTACTGAGGAGCAGGCACAGGAGCTGGGAGGTACTGCAAAGGTCTGGCTGGGACATGTTGGGTCATCTGGTCCCAAAGAAACATGGAGGAAGTGATATTGGGTCACATGGGTTGTGGAAGTTTGGGCTAAGAGGACGGAAAGGGAATGAGTATCAACACTCTTCCTTTGTGGCTGCATTGACTGTGAGGCTACAACAGCATGGACAGGCTGAGAACCTGGAGGAGGAAGCTCCACAACCTAAGACTCACCCTGGCATCGTGCTGGTGCTATAGAGGAATCTGCTAGAACAACAGGTGATGCTCGGCAGGGCTTGACAGCTGCTGGGACTCGCATTTGTCCTCTTGTCTCACCACATTCACCACCACAATCTTGCCAGAAAGCAGTAGAGACAGAGGACAACTTCCTCTTTCCGCTTCACCCAGGAGTATCTCCATGGTGATTCACCGTCAAGTATTGAGCTGGCTCTTTTGATATCTATGTATTTATCTCTTTATGCTTCCCTTCCCAAATATATTCATTGTTTTACAGATATAACCACGTATTCCTGTATCACCCTGCCTCATTTAGTGTTTTTATGAAGAACGGGCATTAAATGTTCTAAATTCCTTTTTTGTCATATGTTTGGGTGATGGCATGGTTTTTCTCCTTTGGCTTATTAACAGGAGGACTCATGAACAGGTTCCTAAATATGGAATTAGTTTTATGTTATTGGATAAAACTTACCAGTGTTTTGATGTATTGCTGGTTTCTGTTTGCTAAGATTTTGTCAGGATTTGAAATATTCAGATTTTCTAGAAAGAACTAGAAAACTTTAATTCTTTATGCTCTGAAAAGTAACACTGGAAATTTAAAAGGATTCATCCATGGATACATCTAGGCCAGGTTGGTTTTGTTTTACTTTTTTTTTTGGTACCGGGGATCAAACTCAGGACCTTGCGGTTTCGAGGCAGGCACAGTGGCACTGAGCTAAATCCCTGGCCCTAGGCCAGATTGTTCTTCTTTTTCTTCTTTTTTTTTTTTTGGTACCAGGGATCGAACTTGGGACCTTGCACTTGCAAGGCAGGAGCTGGAACCACTGAGCTAAATGCCCGGGCCAGGCCAGATTGTTTTTAAAAGGGCAACTATTTGCAAATTTTATAATTTCTGTCAAAGTTATTGATCATTTTTTTCCTATATCACTTGTTTGATTGATCGGTGGGTTTATTAATGACATTGGGGATTGAGCCCAGGCCCTTTGCACTGAGTTACAGACCTAGCCCTCTTTATGTTTTATTTTGAGGCAGAGTCTTGCTAAACTGCTCTGGCTTAGCTCAAATTTGCAACCCTCCTGCCTCAGCCTCCCAGTATGTGTCATCATGCCCAGCTACTTGTTTGCATTTTGATGAATATTTTCTTAGAAGATTTTTTGTTTCATCCAGCTTTCAAAGTTATTAACATTGAGGTATATATTATATTATTTTACTGTTAATTCATACATCATTTTTAGTGTCTGCATAATATTCCATCATGTGGATATACTATAACTGAGTTTCATATTTCAATCATAGTCTCAAGTAGCTGTGAAGGAGGACAAATTTTTCTTCTTGAGTTCTATTGCCAACTCTATCCTCAAGTAGAGTCTTGCCTTTGGATTCAAATATTGTCTCTGCCACTTCATAGACTGGGACTTTAAGGACAGAAATTAATCTCTCTGTACCTTATCTTTCTCTCTGGACAGTGGGGGTGATGATATTAATTCCTGTCTCAGCCAGTGTTCAATACAAGAAATGGAAACCCATCCAGTTGAGTCAGCAGAAAGAGATTTAGTGCAGGGATTCATGTCCTTGCACAGCTGTTGGGAGGGCTGGGGGAGTGGTCTCTAGTGTGAATCTGGTGGGGTGACTCCCTCTCAGAGCAGACCCTTCAGGGAAGCCTTCAAGGCCACCACGGGGCACTGTTGTATTCACAAGCATATGACTGAGATTTGTTGCCACTGCTTCTGCTGCAGCATAATGACCCTCCCACACCCTCACTTGACAGTTGAAACTTCCAGAGGAGCAGGAAATGTCATGCAAATGCTCATGACTGGAGAAACCCAATGTTTATGGAAAACCCCAGGATCCAGAGGAAGCAGAGTTCATCTTTCTTGCATGAAGGTTGTGCAAGCCATGCGCAGTATTAACCATAATACCCTCCCTATGATTGCTGTGAGGACCAAGTGCAGTAATTCACACGAGTGCCTGGGCAGAGAAAGCAAACCAGGTGTGGAGTACTGTGCTTACTTACGATGCATGGTAGACAAATTAGTCATATTTTTCTTCTGTCCTCAGAATAGTCCCAGTATAAATAGGAAGTAGATACTGAAGAAATAATTATCTCACAACAGAGAAGATATGATGGGAAAGGAGGGAACTGGGTACAACTGTTGGCAGTGTGTCTTAATTCATTTA